ATCAGCCCATTTACAATTCTACTGTGCTTGAACGAGAAATGTACCCCCTTTGGGAATGGCCTAAAGACACTACAGTCAGTGGCACTGCCCCGGGGGGTAATATGCCAGTCTAACAGAGATCAATCGAACGAGAGTCAAGGCCACATCAACCTTACAAAGGTCAAAGCCAGTTCAGTCTAATCGAGGTCAAGGTCAGCAGTTTAACAAAGTCTAACACTGTGTTCATCCAACAAAGGTAAAGGTCACCCCAGTCTAAAAGAGATCAAGGTCACACGAGTCTAACAAAGACCAAAGCAATCCCGTAAAACAATGTCAAGGCCAAGCCATTCTAACAAATCACAAGGCCACACCGGACTAACAGAATCATGTCAAGGCCACATCCCATCTAACAAAGGTCAAGGCCATACCTTTGCAGCCCTGTTGTCGAAGCGGGCCAAATGCTGCAGCAACGTCAGGACAGCGGAGCGGTTTCGCAGCAACATCTGGATCAGACAAGGGGTGGGGAAGACATCTGTCAACGTCGTTGTCTCCAAAATATTGTTTGTTAACAATCTCTTTTTTAATGTAGGTGTTTATATGTCCCCAACGACACAGTTTAGATAATTTAGGAGAAGCGGTCAGAGCTTGTGTACTTTTATCCAGGTTTGAGTGCTGTATAAATGTCATTTATTATTATTACTAAAGGGCATTCGACCCTGCCTGGCGGGGCCAACCTGGGTGGAGAGGGTTACGATATCTCAGCAGAAAGACTCATCATGATCAAGTGCCAGATCTCCATTCATTCCCCGTTGCTCTTAAAAAAGCTAAGTAACCCTGGTCATTCCCCGTTGCTCTTAAAAAAGCTAAGTAACCCTGGTCTTTCCCCGTTACCCATCTGTTTAGGATCCCTAAGTAGGTTGCTCTGGACCTACTCCTGACTCGTTTGCCTTCAATTTTGCCAGTGAGAGCTAGATGTTCAAGACCTTTGTGTCCATTCAGGTGTCCCCAAAACTGCGCTTGTTTTTCCCTTTATGTTTTTATCAGTGAGTGTCCTATGTGGGCTTCATCAAGTACTACCTTATTTGATTTCTTTTCCTTCCAAGATATTCTCAGCAGTCTCCTAAGAAACCACTTCTGCTGCTTCTATTTAATTTTCACTGTCTTTAGTGACTGTCCAGCATTCACAGCTGTTAAGAAGGGTTGATCATCCATACATAGCATTTCATAAATTTCATTTTGATAGTCAGAAAGACTATTCGATAAAAATTCTCCCCACTTGGAAATCGAATTCTGGTCTCCTGCGTGCTGCAGCCAAGCACCTAAGCACTACTGCACAGACACTGGTTTGTGATAAGATATAACAACTTAATCTCGACAAAGAAAAATTTGTACACCACGGCTATGCCTGCATATACATGCACTGGTCAACATACACATTCTCTTTCTCATTCTGTCTCATTCTCTCTTTCTCACACACACACACACACACACACACACACACACACACACACACACACACACACACACACACTCATGAATAGTCACTGGAAGAACATAATACGTTTGTCTGTTTGAGAAAAGAGAAGTACATCAATTATATATTAATTCATTGCATGCCGATCACATTCATCTTGATAAAGATAATAATGACAATAAAACAACAATAACAACAAGCATCACCAGCATTCTCCAGCTAAACAATATCGTTGTGCGACATATTAAGATTCCGCCCAGACGACACAATGACCAACCTGAGACTGCAGTCGTCTGTGAAGGTCAGCCAGCTGTGCCCCATCTTTCTCCCGCCCGCGGCGCACCACTGTCACAAAAGCAAAACAGAAATAAATACTTGTTGTAGTTCATGTTTTACAGCACTTGCAAAACAATTAGGTCATTTTCAGTGCAGGACATTAGAGGCGTTACAAGAGAGTAACAAACACGAAAAAGGAGGATAATAATGATAGGTGTTTGATAGGAAAGAAGGAGCAAACCACACCAGAGCACAAGTACTCACACAAGCCCACGTACACACATGCAAGCACACACAGGCGTTAAAACACTAACATACTGACAATATCCAATACAGATAGAAATATCAGAGTGAAAGAAACAGAAGCTACAGGTGGCACCCTCCAACAACACTTTAGATGAGACCAAAGACCTAGCCACGTGAAAAGAGAAGAACTTGGACAGGTATATCATACACAATATAGCTTTTTCTCTCATTCAAAGTCTCAATGCAATCCACCATTCTAAGTCTCCCTATGTGGAAAAAATATTATATTGAAAAAAATAGACAGCCAAGCACTGCAGAACTGCCCAAAGATCAGCCACAGAACTGTTCACATTTAACAATATTGTAGAACTGTTTGAGTAAAAAGAAACTCACTGACACATTTATGGTCATTTAGTGAAGAGGGAAAGGCCGGGGGGGGAGCAAAGAAAGACATACAACAGCAAAATAGGGTAAGAAAAGAAATAGAGGTCAGAGGACCGATCGGTGGTGTCCTTCACCCACCAGTCCGTCATTAAACAGTGACCACTACAAAACAACACAAACAAACAAAGACACTCACACTGGTTCTTTAATCTTTCGACAGTTCGAAACTCGTCTTCATCCTCACCGGCTGATTTGCTGGAAAGGAGCAACAAGAGTTGTTTTTAGTTTTAGTAAGAGTTTTATGGCACTTACAACACAATAATAAGGTCATATATATATATATATATATATATATGTGTCGAATATTACAGATGTTACAAGAGAGAAACAAAACAAAAAAGGAGAGATTTGTAAGGACGATAGACATTTGATAGGAAAGAAGGAGCAAACCACACCAGAGCACCTGCCAACCGCCCACAACAAAGGTAGGAGTGCTAAGACGTTCCTCAGACACACCACTGGTACAAATGACTGTGATGTATCAGTTAGGCTCTTCACCGTGCACACACAAGATGTGAATTCAATTCTGGAATGGATACATTTTTTTAATCGAGTATCTCCGTGTGTGAGGCGTGCTGACAAAATGGGTTGCTTCTCACAATCCAAGAATAGAGATATCGGCCGAAAATCGACACTGGGATCAGATTTATAGATTTTCGCTTGACGCCACTTTCTTCAAGTCTACTGTGTCTTTTATTATTCCATACTTACAAATTGTACAAACTCCACCAAGAAAGTTGATGTATCAACTTTCATAAGGCTGAAATCGGAAAAGTAACTCATTTTGTCAGCACACCTGACATATGTCTACTTGAATGTTGTATACCTCTCAGCCCCCAAGTTGGCCCTGCCAGGCAGGATTGAAGCAACCCACCCTTTAAATGATCTAAACTGAGCTGGGGGGGGAGGGAGGGGAGGTTAAAACATTTACACATAAGTACAGTAAACCACCTTACTTTTTGAGCATAGAAAATTAAACACCACAACAGATTCAAAGCTTTGCAGAGAAAGTTGAGCTGGTAGTGGAGAGATGAATTATGTTCCCGACAATGACACTTGATCCACTTAGTAGTAGTTTATTGGTCTAGCATGAAGACTCATCTCTGTTAATCCATCACACAAGGACAACCGTCGCTCAGTCCAACAATTTGTGTAAAGACGTAATGTGGTTAGGTCAAGCCTAAATTTCTTTTAAAAACACAGCATTTTTTGGTTCAAATAAGTGAAGCACACAAACAAACACAATCACAATCATTTACTGCGAAGAAAAAGCAAGAAAGACTAGCAGAAACAAAAAAAGGGAAATAAGAGGTTGGACCTACCAGTGGTGCCCTCCGCACACCCACTGAACGCTCAGCTTTTCAAAAGCATTATTTATAAAGATAAGAGATTTAATCACACAGAAATAACTATCATCTATGATGTTTTAAAATATAACAGGAGGGACTGTCTGACAGACACTTCATAAAAGAATTTACCTCAAATCTGTAATAATAAATACTTTTATGTACATCATGAAGGTTCAGTTTTTAATGTTTTATAAAAAGCTCTGAATGCTCTTTTATTTCAAGAAGACATTTCATCTACTTTGCAAGATTTCAGACAAACTGTCAGCACCATCACACAATCCTCAGACATTATACCTTGCCAAGAGCTTGAGTGCGTATTCATACTGCGGCAACACAGCATCTGAAAAACAAGAGAGGAGACACTTAATACAGGCTGATAACCAAAAACTTTAAAACTTGAGCTCAAGCTATCTACTGTAAAGCAAAAACAAGCACATCTAAATTTTATTTTCAATTAACACAATCGAACCTGTCCGAGACAGAATCACTTCTTCTTCTTCTTCTTCTTCTTCTTCTTCTTCTTCTTCTTCCTCTTCTATCCCGTGGTTGGGGCAACCATGGAGGCACAACTGCATCTGAAAACCAGCTCTCGCCATTATCTTTGTCCTCTGTTTTCGTCTTTTCTGTCCACTCTATAATGTTGTCCTCCCATCTCCTTCTGTCTTCCTCTCTTTCTCTTTCCTTGTACGGTTCCTTGTAGGATTGTTTTCGCAAGTCCTGTGGATCTTGTGACATGCCCATACCATTTTAATTTTTGTCTCTTCACTGTGGTCCGTAGATCTTCATGCTGCCCCACTGCATTGGTGATTCTGTTTCATAACCCAGCATTTGAAACGGGGTCTTTGTACGAGATGTCAAGGAGTCTGTTGTAACATCTCATCACTGTGGTCTGAATCCTTTTCTCTAATTCTGCTGTCAATGTCCACAACTCGCAGGCAATAAAAATATTGAGATGACCAGTGAGCGCATGTCTGATTTTTTAGTTGGCCGTGATGTTTCTGTCCCTCCAAATAGGCTTCAGTTTTGACAGCGCAGCTGCTGTTTGCGCAATTCTGGAGAGAATTTCTGGTCTTAAACAACAGAAACAACTCCTGCTTTAACATTTTCCATCTTCAGATGGGAAGTTTGGGGGGGGGGGGGGGGGCAGCCCATACATGGTGGGATCAAAGGGTGGGGGGGGGGCATAGGGCTGGGCAGGTACCCAGTACTGAAACTCCCGGTACTATCGTATGCAGTGTCAGTACCGGCACCAGGCCCGGGAACGGAAAGGGAAGGTGTCGGCAATGTGCCCTTGGAAGTAAAGCTCCAGTTACTGTGCAATGTGCAGAAGCTGTGACATCAGATCAAAATTTCACACCTCCCAAATGCTATTCTAGACTCTCAGATAATGACATATATATGTGTGTGTCAGTCTACTTTTATCCATCGTTACCAATACCAGTGATTGCATCTCATAGGACTGCTTACAATCACATGAACTTATTATAATACTAGACTGCTGTTCATCATTCATTCAAAAAAAACTGGGAGAAAAGGTTTTTAAAAACCAAGTAGTAGTAACTGTGGTAACTCAATGAGCTGGTAGTAGTGTAGAGGACTTAGAGTCATAGATCTACGTACTCTAATTACATTCAATGTTTACTTTCACTTTCACTCCTCCTACATGCAGATGTACAGCTTTTCGGGGCTAAACCACCATAATTCTGGCTGAAGAACACACATGATGATATAATATACATGGCCACTAAAACTTTCACAAATCAATTGTGTTTTCAAGATAAGAAAATTTCATCTAATTTTGCAACACAATAAAACATCATGGCATGGAATCAAGGTGGGGGGGGGGGGAGACAAGGTGGATCACATGGAATTTGTCCCCTCTCCGAATTAGCAGAGAATTCAGAGTAGAGCTAGATCTAATCCATTTAATCATTAAACATTGTTGACATCGCCGAAGCCGACGAGAATGAGTTGAATCACGCATTATGAATGAAATAATGATTGAGATAGAGTAGAACATGACTACTATAGCGAGGGCAAGAAAAGGCCCAAACTTGGATACAGCAGGAGAGATAGAGCGAGCTCTAGCTGAAGGAAGGGGGTTGGGGGGGGGGGGGTCCTCTTATAGGTGGGCTCCATGACCATACAGGCAGTCAGCAGTGCGGCGTTGTGATTGGCCAGTCCAGTGATAAGTGAGGTGGGTCAGGCAGCTGAGAGAGATGGCTCGGAGAGACGCATTACGTGAGTCACTCCAAAAGTGATAGTGATGTGCCATAGATTAATCCTACTACAGCAGACTACGAATATGCTGGCTTTGGCCAAAACTTGAAAAAGACAGTAAAAGAAGTGGAGAGTGTGTAGTGTGTCATTTTTCGGTAATTCCCTTTTGCATTCCTAGAGTGAGAACTTGCCCACAGCTGAGTTTTTCTTCTGGAACTAAAAGTCTCGCTATACTATAGCCATGTTCTACTCTACCGCCCGCTGTCTGCTGTATATTGCACAGTCTGCCTCCGTGTCCTACCTTCTCGACAACCAGTTATCTTACTGCAAAGTCTCAAAAGAAGCGTTGACACTGTCTTCAAGTCATCATTACTACTTTGTCTGTATGATGCCATCTCAAACAGTTTTCGAAATAACAAGGTCAAAGAAAATTAATGATCCTCAAAGAAGCATTAATAATAAAACATTCGAATCTGTACATGTTTCTAATCGTTTCCGCCAACAATCGCCATCTTAATTATTTGTCTATTTTGTTACTACGTCGTACACGTCGTGCTTTTCTTATTTCATAGTATTACTCCGCAATTCGTTTATATGGATATTATAATTAATGTTTCTTAATAACTGATTTTACCGTTCACATTTAATGAGGAGGGTGGCAACTGTAACTCATCTAACTTGATCCTAATCAATGTTGGTTGATCATTCGTTTTGTTTCGTAAAACTTTGCCATACTCTACTGATAAATAGCTCGCCGTCAATGTCTGACCATGACCAGTAGTAGCAGATTTCTCTGTGATTTGAAAAATGTGATAACTTTTAGATTAACTATTCCTTTAAGGTACTCTGAAACAGCATAAGATTTGTTTATGTACTGAAAAAAGCTTGATCTTTGCTTCTGGGTAAAGAAAATATTATATGAAAGACATCACAAGGTGTTCCTTGCCGGGTAGAGAATAATATACATGTAATTTGATTCTCGACCTAGGACTCCAAGATCTCAACCTATCTCTAAGGAAGACCAATGCAAAAACCATAACTCTTCTAGAATATAGTGGTTTGCACAGCTAATAAAGTTAGCTCCCTTGACCCTCTCCCTCTCCCTCTCCCTCTCTCTCTCTCTCTCTCTCTCTCT